ACCAAGCCGTTTGATGACCCTCCTTTTGGTACTGAGGTCATTGCATAGTTGATACTTCGTGCATGTTCAGACATGTATGTGGCCATGATCTTTTTATCTGATACCAGGTTATAGCCTTGTGAAAAGTACAAGTGGACTGACCTTTTTACAAATAGAGTTTGTCATTTAAAGATATTTGAGACAAAGGCAGGCAATTATGTGGTAGAGCGAAGCTTTATTTCATTCTAATGAACATGCACGGCTGATTCAAGATTTCTGAGGCAAAATACAAATTCATGACAATCCAAAGTTGGATTAAGGTTTCCTTTAATGTGGTTAAATGCTTTCAGAATTACTCTTTCTCACCACTGTGGCAAACAATATATCAATGGGCACTGAAATGGAATGTTAGGAATCTGAACCAAGCGTTGTGAAAGCCGATGGATTTAGCAGACTTTGTATATTGGGTTTTTTTTTTTCCCCTGATTTACATCATCTTGTATTAATGACTGGATTTTTTTTTTTTTTGAGATCTTGCTCAGCAGTTCCACACTGATTGGAGCTCTGTTCGGCTTGCCAGCATGCTGCAGTTGTTTTTTTGGGCAGATCAGAAAGGCAAAAAATTCTAGAAGACATGCAGGAATATGGAAAGTATCATGTACCTGGCACCTCGGTGTAGTCTGGGAAAGTGTATGGTTCAGATCCAGGTGAAGTCTAGTGGCTGTGTAGAATTCCTGTACTTATTTTGTTGTGCACTCTGCTGCTCATGAGAATTGTATTTCTGATTGTAGGAGATAAAACTTGTTGATCCAAGAAATCATTGGTGTTTTATCATGTAGTACAGTGAAGTGCTTTGAAGTGAATTTTTGCAGAAAATAAGCTAGAAGGAGTTTTTCATTTTAATAAATTTCATATAGAGAAATTTAATTTTTATTCATTAATATTTGTAAAAAGCAGTTTTAAGAACAATATGCAACTGCTATACATTGAAGACTGTGAAAAGCAAGAGCAGTGCAAAATCCTAACGCTGCCCCAAAATTCACCTGAAGTGATCTCTCAATATGACATAGTCAGTTATTACTACAGGACCTGACTGCTCTCTAAGAACTGTCAGTATGGACAGAAAGTAATTCCACTTTTTGTGGTGCTTTCTTGAAGATCACATTTGTCTGCTGGCAAGCACTACAGTTAATAATGAGGCATATAGCATGTGAAATGAAAATATAGACAACTATGGTTTAAACTGTCCTCCAGTTTCTCTTAACTTAGAGGAGTGAGGAAAGGATATAAAAATGTAGTACTACAAGTAAAACGATGAAAAAAATCAGAGCATGTTTATGTAAAATGTATTCCATTATATGCATATAGATTAGAAACAAGCTGCAACACGTTTCTGGGAGAAAAAAGAAAATAAAAAATAATCAAAAGAATGTAAAAACCTTGTCATTTAGTAATAATACTTTAAAGAAACCATGGGAAAGAATGACAATGTGCTGTTTCATGGGCACTTTAAAGGTTTCCTGGTGTTTGTTGTTATTCTGTGGAAAAGGAAAACATTCAGAATATTTGTGAAACAGTTCTTTTAGGAAAGATCAATTTTTTTTTTTCTTTTTAAATTTTATTTTACTTGAGTTTCTCTGAAAGAGATTGTAAACCTGCCCAGCAGTCTAGATTCTTGTCAAAACTTGATCAAAAGTGCAGTTTCTAGTGTTATCTAAACTGAAGGATCTCACTGTTTTTAATACATATAAGTTTGTATATTATGTTCCCAAGTAACTTGTGAAGTTAGGCTAGTGTTTTAAGCGTAGCATGTAGGATGTTCACAAAGTGACAAGGGAATACCTTTTCCCCTTGCTGAGTATTGGCACTTTTTTCACTTTCACAAGCAGTGATATTCACAGTCATAGTCCATTGCTTTTGTACCAAAGTAGCATGCAAACAGGAAAAGCCTGGTTGATGTTCATAGCTGTGTGTTTTTCATCAATCATAAAAGCAACACAGAATCAGCTCAGGAAAGGTGGTAGTCCCTGGGCTAGACCAGCAGTGCTTGTGTAAATCGCGTAGGATCTTGTCATGTCTGAGTACTTTCCAACTCTGAATGACTTGTCCTTTGATGTGGAAAAATAATTTAATAACTGTTTAAAAACCCCCAGGTTTTAACTAGGCTTATACTGTACGATAGATCTAAATATTAATTGCAGATACTGGCTAATAATTTTAATGCTTTTCAATAAGTAGCAAAATAAGCAGAAAAATACTGAAAAAATGATATCAGCTTGTATCTGAGCTGTTGACTGAGTACCTAGTACCTTATTACTGATTTTTTTTTTTTAAACATCTGTGAAGGTGTGGAACAAAATCTTTGTTTTGAAGAAGTAATACTAGCTACAAAGTAGGAAGAAAGAGCTGTTTGTAGCTGTTTGTAAGTAAATGGCATATAGTAAACTGAGTATCTATAGACTTCTATTCTGGGATGTTAAAATTTTCTAAAAGGTGATTATTGCATTAACTCTGAAATGAAGATGATTTCTGTCTCTGCTGCTTAGCTTTGCTCAAATTAGATTAACAGTTGGACTGAAATTGTGAGGACATTTTCCTTTTTTTTTTTTTTTTTTTTGCTTTCCTTGTGCTGTATTGAGATTATTTATATCTGTACCTGAAGTAGAGTTGACTGGTAGGTGGGGTTTACAGGAGGTAAAGGCAATGTGGACTGAAACACTTCACCACAACAATTAGGTCTAAATTCTGTTTTTACTAGAAGGCCTCTGCTACCATCTTCTGATTTGATGCTCTTCCTTAGTTTGTCAGAGAATTGGTTAATAGGTAAGTGTCTGTTAACTGGAACTGCAAAGCTGGAATTAAAGAAGGTAAAAATAATGTGAAGGAAAAGCCTGTAGAACTGCAGTTATGTTTTGCTCCTTTATTTTTCCACATTACTTAAAACAATGTTTAATAGCACTGTATCTTATTTTTTACAACAAAATATTTTCATGTATTCATTTCCTTCTTATAACTAAAGACTTCATACCACAGTTGCTAAATGTCAGCACGTAAATCTTAATAATACTTACTCTGTAGTGCAGTTTTGTTTGGGACCATGGTTAGAGATCTTACTCTGTATTCAACATTCTCTTATTTTTTTGTCAATGGAAAATGTTTTTAAGGGGGAATAAACATTTACAGTGCATTGGTAGCAAGGCCATGATTCTAACATGAAGCAAAGAGTTAACATTGGTGTTCATCCATTAACTAAAGAATACGAGAGTTTTACTGTTCTCATACTTGGCTTCTGTTTGCATATGATAAGCTATGCTTTATGAAACTATCAGACTCAGATGTATCAAAAAACCCCAAAGCAACTCTATTTTTATTTTGTGATAGATGTGTATTTGTTTTTTTAAAGCTTGTTTTTTCCAGGTGATAAATTGAACTACCTTTATCATTTGGATATATATTATAGACCTTTAAAAATATGGACAGTTCTAAACAGTTTGTTAGGGTCAAAAATTCAGATATCCATTAAGCTTCTTAAAAAAAAAAAAAGGGCAGAAATGAACATAATAAAAATCCCCCCCACAATATATTTTAATGTAAGTAAATTCTTGAACATGGTATTTTTATACAAAGATGTATTTTAATCATAAATGCCATTCTATTCCTCAGTCAAATATTATGAGAAATATAGGACATGAAACCATTTTATTGCAATGATTAGAACACCACTTCTCAACCTTCTTTATAAAAAAAAACCAACCCCACACCAAAACCCCCACTAAAACCAAAAACCCAACCCCAAAACAAAAACTCCAAAACAACAACAAAAAACAACCCCCCAAACTCCAGAGATCTATATCCTTAGCTGGTGTAAAGCAGCACAGCATCTTTGAAGTCATACAGACACTTGGCTGCTGAGAATCCAGCCCTGGAGATGTAGTGCACAACAGCAGTCTGATGTAAGATACGTTTAGCTACAGGAGTTTCAAAGCACTCCAGCAGAGCAGGTTCAGACAAGTGCATTTCAGCCCACCAGCATGTTTCAAATGGTGTGCTGGTTATATGGCTTAAACTTTTGATGACATTTTTCATAACAAGAACAGCAGAAACAACAGGAGCTTTGAAAATAAAGATAGATTATTAAATAGATGATAAAAATCTTAACACTGCTAGGTAGACTAGTGTTAAATAAAAACTGTAGGTTTATAATAAATTAAAAATAACCTTTGGGTTTGAGTTTGCAGTATTTAGGGAGAAGTGATACTATTCAACATCTGGATTTGTAGAGCTAATGGGGTGCATTTGAAAGTACTGCTGTGGTATGAAATTAAACCCTTTAAATTATACAGTGATCTGTGTAAAATTATAAATTGATAGTAACTAATTATTCTGGATCATAGCCAGTGAAGTGTTGGTAGACTAGGTAAATTAAAAGTGGCGTTCATTCATTTTCTGTGGAAGTAAGTTAACGTACACGGGGCGTAACTTCATGCTGGCACTTGTTAATGGATGAGTAATAAATCAGGCCACAGAACTCCTTAGAAACATGAAAAAATGAAGCTGTAGTTCAATAAAAATAATAAAGTGCTTTAAATGAGCATTTGTTGTTTACTACATTGTTTCTCATTTCATGGTAGACATCAAAACCAACCCAATGAAATATGATAGTGCTCTAGACTAAGTAAAACTGAGCCTGTTACTTACTGTAGTCAGTATTTCCATGTATTTTCTTGTCTTGATGTTAGACTTAGTTTACTGTGGGATCAGAGAAGAGGCTTATAGTATGGGTTGAACTTGCACAGACACATAGATCACCATAAATATTCCGTATTTTAAAGTTTCCATTTGCAAAAAAAATGTGGATGTAAGAAGAAGGAAGCAAAAAAGAGCAATTTGGAAACAGTTCATATTCAGTGTATGTAGCCAATTGGCCTGAAATACACTGTTCAGTTTTGTAAGACAGAAGAGGGTTGCTGGAAATGTAGAGAAATCTAAGAATTTATTCTAAGTCCATTAAGTGATAGCTGCTATAATATGGATGCTTCTTCCATGGCTTCAATCCACCTAAAAAAGGGCAGGAAAGAAAAAGTGGTACATATAAAATTACATGCATTTTAAGAACATATGTATTAAAAATAAAAAGTATTTTAAGAACATAAAACCTGAAGAGGACTATATTTCCCATCCAAGGTCTAATGAGGAACTATAGTTTTGTAATTAAAGCAGGGAGCTGGGTACTAGGACTCTTGCATTCTAGTACAACTTTTACCAGTAATTTATTGTAAAATCTCAAAGATAGTACAAGTGCTGTCTTAAAATAGGAAAGATGAAAACACTAAGTATGTTTAAAAGCAATAAAGCTTCCCATAAACACTTATTTCCTTCCCTGTGTGTCTTGAAGTGCTGGCATTTTTATTAGTAATTTCATGACTTTTATTACGTGTAAGCAGTAGCATTAGAATGGGAAATCTAAACAATTACTAGTTGAGGAAACTAGGAGATGGATAAATAGAAGACATAAATCAGAGAAGTTTCTGTACAGTAATCACATTTGACAGACTTCTTGAGTCTCAGTCTCTTCTTTACCTATACAAGGGAGCAAATTCTCCTTCCTGAAGGAACTGAAAAGCACCAGGTAGATTTTTAATGTCATCCAGGCCAGTGACATGCAATGGGGCTTAATCAACACTCTGAGAGCTGTTTGTTTCCTCTGTTAAGGTGTTCTGAAGTGAAGGAGAAGGAAAAGCCCTACAAAACCTTTTGAAACTGCACACTGGCTAGTGTGGAAGTATACCCCCGTACCTCTGTGCTGAATTGTTATCCTCTGCTCGGAAGCTATAAAAGAGAGTTTGCTTGTGGTAGAGATGGAAAACTGTGTCCGTACTTCCTTCCTCCTTTTCTGGGGCAATGGTGAAACCCAATAAAGGCAAACTTTCTGTGGCAACTTTGTCCTGAAAGCAAACAAGAAGTGAACCAAAATTCAGAGAGAAGGCATGTAATGGTTGGAGGGCTCTTTCTGAAAACCAAATAATAATACAACTCCTCTCTGACAGGGCTTCCAAAGCACTAGTCTGAATCTTCTGCTGGACTGGTGGCTCTTACCTAAACAGAAGCAGTGCCTGTGTACTGCATGTGTTTATCTAGCCTTAGTCCTGAACTTGAACACCACCTCTGAAAGTCCAGTTCTTCATGAAGGTCAAATTAGCCATTACTTTAATGGCTGTTTTTGGCATAATGATCCAGGAGGCAAACTAGAGATTACTGAGAGTATGGGACAGTACAGCAGCAGTTCTGAAAGCCTGAGCCCCACTCCCAGTTATGTTCATTCCTTTCAACCATTTTTATTTGCTGAGTGCAAGTAGTAGTGTCTTTGATACCTTGTCATTTATTTTATAGCATTAGCAGGGAGGGTCTCATGAGGGTGGAGTAGAGGGGAGAATCCCCTCCCTTGACCTGCTGTTCACACTGCTTTTGATGCAGCCCAGGACATGGCTGGCTTTCTGGACTGTGTTCAGCGCTGGGTTCCCCAGTACAAGACAGATATGGACCTGTTGGAGCAAGTCCAGAGGAGGCCACGAACATGATCAGAGGGCTGGAGCACCTCTCCTGTGAAGACAGACAGAGAGCTGGGGTTGTTCACCTTGGAGAAGGCTCCAGGGAGACCTTAGAGCACCTTCCAGTACCTAAAGGGGCCTACAAAAAAGCTGGAGAGGGACTGTTTACGAGGGTATGGAGTGATAGGAGAAGGGGTAATGGTCTTAAGCTGAAGAAGGGGAGATTTAGATGAGATATTAGGAAGAAATTCTTCCCTGTGAGGGTGGTGAGGCACTGGAATGGGTTGCCCACAAGAGTTGTGGATGCCCCATCCCTGGAAGTGTTCAAGGCCAGGTTGGATGGGGCTTTGGTCTGGTGGAGAGTGTCCCAGCCCATTGCAGGGGGGTTGGAACTAGATGATCTTTAAAGGCCTCTTCCAATCCAAATCATTCTATGATTCTATTGTTGAACCAGAAATGATCACTTTTAAGGTTAGCAGAGGTCAGGTAAATGTATTGGATACCTTGCTGGCCAAATCATGAACTCTTTTGTGCCTTAGTCTCCTTATCTGTTTAAAGGGGATAATGTTGCTTCATGCAACCATCACAGTGGTGATGAAAGTTTAAATAATTGATGTTTGCCAAGGGTTCTGAAGGCTTAAAGTACTAAATATTACTATTACTACAGTTCTTGCATTCTGTGTCCTTTATTCAGCAAAATGAATTTTTATGCTTCTGCTTATGAAATCTGACAGTTATAGCCAAACTTTGTATCACACTTACTTTCAGTTTATTTGTATTGTGGCTATTCAGAAAGGAGAAGAAATTAAAATAAGAAAAGGGAATGGGAAGAGACAAAATACATAAAAATTATCTAGCTGATATCCAACCTCCTTGGCTATAAGGAGCAGCTTACAGGCCAATTCACAAGGCAGTATTCTCACCTCTGCAGACTGCCTCCTGTCTTTCCCTGTTTGTGCTAGTAGGGCAAATATGTCCTATTTCTACTTGCAAAACTGTAAGATTCTCCTCCCCACCAGAAATGGATCAGAGCACCATCTATTTACAAAATATTTTGCATTTACCAAGTGCACCAGAGAATGCCCAAGGACCTTGAAGTCTCTAGGTGTAAATATGTAGACTAAGGTTCACAGTGGTTGACAGTTTAGAATAGCATGAATAGCGAGAAGTCAAAAAATGAGGGGCAGTTTGTGAAGAGGGCTGCCGAGGTCCAGCTAGGGCTGTGGCTGGGCCCCTCAGCTAAGGACAGCTCCTTGGGGACTCAGTGTGTTAGGACCAGGTTTCAGAAGGCAGGTAGTTTGTGAGAACAGCCATTTATTAACCCTAACCCTTTTGCATTTACTTGTGCTGCCTGTAGGGAATAAAGAAAGGAACCCAGATAGGAAAGTATTTCAAGTCAGATTGCACAGTACCTCGTTTGCTATGTAGGTGTAGAGTACTTTGCCTTTGATAACAAACCAACGTTTCTTCCAGTGTCTTTTGCCTCTCTTGCATCTGCTGAGGTAACCACTGATGGTAGCTCCCTCTTCTGAGGCTGCCACCTGGAGCAGGATAGGAGTAATCAGGATTTCTAACAGCAAAGGCTTTTTCCCTCCTGATTATGCATGTTCGCATCACACCAGACAACCAGGTCTATGTCCGTGAAACCGTAAGTAGACCATTACAAGCCAAAAAATATAAGCATGGTATTATGGTTCTTTTTAACTGTTTGAAGATTTCTGGTTAAACTTAGTTCTCAGTAACTCTGATGGAAAATACACAGTCGAGTTATCATTGAGGTCAGCAAGTTTACAGTTGTGTTCTGAGAAGCTGAACTTGTCCCTTTTCCCAGATCTGCTTTTTGGTGTATTAAAAGTACGTGCTTCCAAAAGGGAATTAGTCTTGTGGCTGAACACTTCTAAAATGTGGGTATATTTAGGTCTGTGCAATAATTTTTTATCAATTTTATGTTAATCACTTGACTATGACTTGGTTTCGTTTGTGAAATAATATTTCTGAGAAGTTACCCCTCTCAGAAGTATTTTGAGATCTAAGTGCTTAATGTTCTTAAAGATACAGATTTTGAGTAGATGGAACTATACACACACAGTGCAGTGTATGTTACTAGTTACAGTAGTAAACTGCAATAGTATTGGATTTAGAAACAAAAGGCAGAGGTTCAAACCCAGCTTTTGTAGCACTGACACAAGAGAAGACTGAGCAGTAGTGTAGCAGTGTTTTGCAGCAGAAATGTTCCAGGATGTCGCTAAAGCAAGTTATAAAAAGTTATGGCGCAACAGTATTGTGAGACAGTTCATATTAATAAATACATGCTGCCTCCTTGTGGATAGAAAGACAATGCTTTTTTCCTAATGGGGCTGAAATTTTTCCTGTTGGTTCTTTCAGTATTGAATTTGTGTGTTTGTATTATATGCTTGTATCTTTACCTCAGTTTCACCTCAGGACAAACAAACCTCAAGATATTCCAGTGCCTCGACTGTACAATGAGTTCAGCATGATGTTTGCACCCTGTTCTCTTTAATATAATGCTAAATACCTGTGGATTTCAGTCAAATGGGAGTACCTTACTGTGCTTGATTTCAATGGGCAATGTAGCTACCTAGACTACATCAACATGACTGGCACCTTGTTCCTGGAAAGAAAACTAATATAGCCGGAGAAATCTTGGCCCCATTGAAATTAGTGGGAATTTTATTTGTTTATGTTGGTGGGATCAAGACTTTAACCATTTGATTTGAAATAGTTTGGTTTGAGCTGAAGGGAAAGTGCCTGATTAAACATGTATGCTCCTGATTGATTGCCAAGGACTAGAGTCTATTCACTAAGTTGTATTTTATTTCTCTGGAAATCAAAGTGAGATTTCAGAAATAAGAGTCTTCTCAAAAAAAGGTAACTGGTCAACAGTATATCATGCTCTGTTGATACTTGTCATTGTCTGTGATCTGCCTTGTACTATATAGTACCTTGAAGTCATCTTAGTTTTCTAAAGACTTCACAGGCTAATGAGCAAATTAAAGTATGCTGCTCTAATTGAGTTTCTCAATGGGCTCAAGAAGCTTTTGTGGTATCTTGAGAGCTCAGAGTATTTTGTATTTTAAACGCTATTGTGAAAAACAGAAAAAAATAATTGCATGATGAAAGTAGACCAGGGCATGGGCTGAGCCCACTGCACGCAAAATAAACATTGCTGCTGAAGTATGAGCACACAGTTCTCTACAGTTCCTTGCCTTTCTCAGGCAGCTTGGTCCTACCTCTGTAAGAGCTGAAGGGATCTTCTTCTGTTTCTTAAAAGATGAATAATGAATATTGTGGAAGACAGACGAGAACGCACTGCTTGAACACCTGGATGAAGTTGGAGGGAAGCTCACACTTAGTGGCCGCTCTGAAAGATTAAAAAAAAATTCAGAAAGGGAAGGGGGAAGTGGATGAATTGGTACATATCAGACTAGCGGTGAGACACATACAATACATTAATGCAAAGGACTAAGGAAAATGCAATGCTTCCTCCATAGCCACTTTTTAATCACCCCTTTAAGTCTGATTAGATGGGTGGATTTCATAGCACCATAGGTTAATGGTAATAACCTACAGTTACTTGAAAGAAGCCTGCAAGAAAGCTGACAAAGCACAAAACACAGCTTGTTTTCTTCTAATTTAAAATCAGCATTAAGCAAATGGCTTTTCCATCTATCCCCTCTATGTTCTATAACACCTTTGCAGGACAGATTCACTAATGGGACATTCTTTCCCATGCAGAACTCAAAGAGAATGGCTGATACAAAAAGAGTTATTCTGTGTCTGTCAATCGCCATTAACCCCAGTTGTCTGCATTTATATCTTCATGATCTCACTTCTGGCAGCATGCATTATCTGGAAGCTCTCAGTAAAGCACAACATTGTTTTAGCACGAATGTGAGTTATTACTTCTTGGACACACGGTGGCTTGGGGATGCTTTTTTGGCTGTTGTGACAGCATCCATTCATGTGTTTGCTTGGCTAGTGTGAATTTCTTTAATCAGGATGGAAAAACTAAACTTCATCTGTCCCCACCTTTTTATCTTTTGACAGTACAATGTGCCTACTTTTAGAGATTGTCAGCATTAATAGTTGTGCAAGTTCCTGTTCATTCTCTGTTCATACATATGTAACCCCTGTCCCCCTCTTTGATCTTTGATTTGGATGGGTATTTAAATCAGAAAAGGGACTTATCTAGTAGGACAATAATACAGAGTTCTAGTTAGGCAGTAGGATTAACTCCCCATGTAGAAAAGCTCAGTGACTCTGCACTTTATCTCAGCATTTCTTACTGTAAAAACTACAACATGGATGAGGACAGTGAGGAGCTTTAAAGTCACTGTTTTACTTTAATGGGTAATTTATTAGAAATGACAGGGAAGAGCTATCACCTATAATTACATCACAGAATAGAATAGTTCAGTTGGAAGGGACCTACAGCAATCATCTAGTCCAACTGCCTGACCAATTCAGGGCTGCCCAGAAGTTAAAACATGTTAAGGGCATTGTCCAAATGCCTCTTAAACACTGCCAGGCTTGGGGCATTGACCACCTCTCTAGAAAGCCTGTTGCAGTGTTTGACCACCCTCTGGTTAAAGAAAGGTTTCCTGATGTCAAGTCTGAACCTCCTCTGATGAAGCTTTGAACTATTCCCATGCGACCTGTCATTGGATCCCAGGGAGAAGAGATCAGTCCTTCCTTCTCCACTTCCCCTCCTCCGGAAGCTGCAGAGAGCAATGAGGTCACCCTCAGCCTCCTTTTCTCCAAACTAGACAAACCCAGAGTCCTCAGCTGCTCCTTACAGGACATAGTTTTTATTGTTACTCTGGTTTATTGAAAGGCCAATGGGAGCGCTCAGAGAACTTGGCTTGTTAGAACAGTTTTAGCTGACATACAGCCTGGCAGACCTGGAACCTCAATACGCATGCCTCGTGCTTGAAATGAGAAATCCTCTTCAACAAAATACAGTATGATAGGCAGATCCTAAAGCTTTCCCATTATACAGGCAGGAAACGTGTTTGTGAGTTTTGCCAAGAATGAAGGAACCTTACCTCTTTTCTTAAGTTCCACATAGCAGCTATCACAGACTTTGGCTGCTTGATCTTTGAGGTACTTCATAGGATACTTGTTTCTTGAACAATTTCGACATATAATCTGTTCCAGCAAGGAGAGATGCATGTAAATATAATTTAAGTTTATATATATGGACATACAAAACAAATCCTCTGAGTGGGCTGGGAGAGTAAGACGGGTAGTGGACCAGATATGACTCTCCTAAAACTGTGGCAGTCAGGGTAAGTCTACTGACAGAAATGTGATTGCTGTAGATTTCCACCGTTGTAAGCCAAGTAGAATTGATCACTGTATTTGCTTGCACACTATTGCTGTGCCCATCTCCCCAGGAACTTATACCTTCCCTACTAGTGAATCACAGAAAGACTGTTTTAATGTTGCTTCTGTTCTCATAGCTTTTTTAGTAACATTGGTTTCTTGAGCAAGCTTGCATGTTCCTGCTATCTCTGCGTAGGTACAGACCGATTTTCTGTGTGGAATTAGAAAAAAGATTAAATGCTTTTTCATACTAGCAAAAATTACTGGTAGTTGGATTAAAAAAAATAAATCACTGAGGCTAAAAGACAGCAATGATTTAAAACAGGACTGCAGGTTTATATGTATAAAAAGATTTCTAGAGTCAGTGATAAAGCGACAAAACCAAGAAACCTTATAGATCCCCTTGGCTTTAGGGCAAAAGGCAGCAGCTCTTCAATGCAGCACAGAAGAAACTTTCCCTTTGGCCACTGACCAAACCATGCTGTGCTGCTGAGTTTCTTCACTTTTTTTGGAAGATAATTTTACCAGCTGTTATTAGGGACAGGACATGGACTAGATGTGTTACTGCTCTGGTCCAGAACAGAGCCTATATTTTTAGTGTATTGCTTCATTGTCTCTAAAGCTAGCTGTATATCAGATATAATAGCTGGATTTAGCAACAAGTATCCTTTAAGCCTTCAACTACTAGTCTTTGGAAATTAATTTGACCCTCAAGGGAAGGTTACTGCTGTTCCTACTAGAGTTACTAGAAACCTAATTACCTAATTTAGCAAAGAACTAACAGGTTCTGTGAGACGTCAAATTCTGATGTTGCTACATGTTTGCAGAAGTTACAGCAGTGGCAGCCAGCATCCTAGAGGCATGAATAAAGCCTCCCTGGGAAGCTTGTACAGCTCTTACCTTCCCACAGGCATGGCAATGATGTCGCCTCAAAGTGAGGGTAAAGTCACAGCCACAATTCATGCACATCATGACATGGGACACAGGTACCAAAGTAGGAGGCCTCTCACCCAAGGGTATTCCAATCCTTTCCCTTAGCTTAAAATCAAACAAGAACAAATGAAGAAGCATCCATCCTTCCAAAATATACTCAGTCAGCCCTGCTCCATCCCATACAATTCTCTTCTTATTTCAGTCTACCTTAACCTGCTAAGATCCCCAAATTTTCTAATTCCTAAAGCAGATTGTAAGTGAGATACAGCTGCTTCAGCACTGAAAGACTGTGTCCAATTGGTACATGATGCTGTTGAAGCCAGCATCACAACAGGTAGAAATCCATGTAGATCTATTATTGGTCAGGCACTGATGCTCTTCCACATCAGGCAAGGATCTGATTCATTGCATATGCAAATTTCAGGTAAGAATATGAGTTAAAGCCATGTTTTTATTAGCACCTTTGAAATAATATCCATAAAAAGCTCTATAGTTTTCAATCAAAAAGAGCCTGATCTCTTCATGTCATTACACCTTTGGACAGTTCTATGATCAAGGGAGAGAAAGTACAGAAAACAGGAAACTCAAAGATTTATTTACCCACACACAATCCAAATCTTACCCATGCTTTCCATGGCTGATTTGAATATATGTAAGTAGCTTTAGAAGATGTATTCACTGTTCCTATTTCTTCAAATGCACCATGTTGCAGTGTTGTACAGGTGCCTTTGCTCAAAGCCCAGAGAGCCATGCTCAGTGTGGAACTGAACCCAATCTAATAAGCTGTGCTGAGAAGCTGTGTTACTTCAGGTTCAGCACCAATGTATTATGGGTAGTCCACTGTCAGTCCACAGCAGCTTAGTGTTTGGCACAAGTAGTGCAAGCTCTTGTGCCTTTGAAGGACTGTTTGTTAGGAGGGTTTCCAATGAGGAGATAAGACTTCTGCAGACAAATAAGATTTAAACACTGAAAAAATCAAATTCCTCCAGATTTCTCCTTGTGCACATTCAGGTTTACGTCAGAAGCAGAGCTCCAAAAGAAATTATTTTTCCATTTGTTGAAAAAGGATTTGGTTTAGGTTGCTATAGTAACTAATTTCTAATTTTTCCTTGTTAAATATTTGAAAGTAGATTAGCTTCAAGCCAGAAGAAAAATCCTGGTTTGGTTTTTTTAATTCATTTTTTACTTTTTGAAGTCTTCAAAAAATAAATCACAGAATCACAGACTGGTTGAGGTTGGAAGGGACCTGTGGAGGTCATCTGGTCCAACCCCCCTGCTCAGGCAGGGCCACCTAGAGCCAGTTGCCCAGGACCATGTCCAGGTGACTTTTGAATACCGCCAAGGATGGAGACTCCTCAATCTCCCTGGGCAACTTGTGCCAGTGTTCAGTCACCCTCAGAGTGAAAAAGTGTTTTCTGATGTTCGAGGGAACGTCCTGTGTTTCAGTTTGTGCCCATTGCCTCTGGTCCTGTCCCTGGGCACCACTGGCTCCATCTTCTTTGTACCTTCCCCTCAGGTACACATTTATACACATTGATGAGATCTCCCCTGAGCCTTCTCTTCTCCAGGCTGAACAGTCCCAGCTCTCTCAGCCTTTCCTCACAGGAGAGGTGCTCCAGTCCCTTCATCATCTTTGTGGCCCTCTGATGGGCTCTTTCTGAGGTTTCCGTGTCTCTTGTGTACAGAGGAGCCCAGCATTGCACGCAGCACTCCAGGTGTGGCCTCACCAGCACTCTTTTTTCCCCAATTAGACTTATGTAGCAAAACTGGGGTTCTACATAACCTAGAATAGCATTTTTACTTTTTGTCAGATGCATTCTTTGCCACCTTAACTGGAAGTAGTACAACTGAAATGAATGAGATAATAATATACACTAATTGTGCTAGTACAATTAGAATATTGCTGGTGGGGCTTGCACTGGCAATGACTTTATTGTGTGTATGATATTAGTGTAACTAATGGATAGTTTTGCTTTCTTAAAATCTACAAAGTTTGTAGCTATTTTTAATTCATCCAAAACAGTTACCTTTTAGGACAGAGTCTTCCCCAGGAAGAACTCCTATTTAAGCAAAGACCATGGAGTTTAGAGTGTGATTAACATTTCAGAGATGTCCAATTAGCTGTGATGAGCTTCATTATTTAAGCTTGGCATACTGGTTTAAATGAAAATAGTAAGAATGTCTTGCCACTAGGAACTCTGCCACTTGCTGCTTCCTCTCTCTTTCTTTCTCTTCCTTCCCCCTTCCCCTTTCAAGCATTGAAAGACTTGGCCGCCTTTTACCTCCACGCTGCTGTGGAAAGTGGAAGTGTTGTGAGCTTTGTTTTCATCTGGGATGTGTTTGCTGATGCAGCTGTACCAGTCATCCCTTTCCGAGCAAGAGCTGTGGAATGAAATACAGCAGAGCAGTCAATGCCATGCACAGCAGGGACTGAAACAAGCTGTTTCTGGATCAGAGGAGAAAAGCTTCACTTTATGAATGTTTGCATTTCCTCACTACTGCATTGAACTGGTAATTTTTCTGACCAGGAACAAAATTGACTGTTGGACATATTTGGTGGTATGATTAGTATAGATCCATGGTTAAGACGGTGACTGAGAAGGAACTAGATGCCCTGAAAATTTTTCAAAGTAGTCTCTGACTTTGCTATAAGTTGTTCAATCCTAGAACACATAGGACAATATGAAATGTCTCTTTGTCATGTATGCCCTAGCTTTTAGGCACTCTAGGGCATGTAGTGTTGGCATGGGTTGCTCAAAGTAAGTGTTTATGCTCATCTCTAGAGTGGGAAGCTTGGATGGTCTGCATGTTGGGAAATGCAGAAGTCTGTCACCCATGGTAGAGATGTAAACACTTTCATTTACCTCTAGCTCCATCACAGACAATCTCTAGTCTCCTGGCAAGAGGCCAGGACACCAATTTGGGAAGGAAATTCTGCATTCCTTCTAGTTGCAGTTATGCAGTTCTCCAGACTGGCCCCTAGATGCCCCCTTTGCACAAGGTAAAACAGTGAGCACTTGGCGCTTCTCACCAGTACAGCTGTCCTAGAAGAGCAGCAGGGCTCTGGGTGCCTGTTACTTCCCGGATGCATTCACTCTGTTACAGCCATAAGCCGTCCTGCCTGTTAGCTGGTTTTCCTGCTGTGACTTCAAACTATGCGTTTCCTGTCTATCTGAAACTATGCACAGCTCTAGCTGTTTCCAGCATCAGTCAGAAGGAAATGCAACTCTGGTGTCTCCCCTCCCCAAGACATACCAGCCACTCACATTAAAGCTACCCACTAGACTGTGTTGTAAAAATTAGCAGTGGCATCACTTCCAGCTGCTGTTCAGCTGTGATTTCCTCACACTGTCCTCATGAAGGCCACCAAACAAGACATTTAAGAGCAATTTGTCTTTTGTGGTCTTTAAAAAAAACACAACATAAGTCCTTGTATGAAAAACACCAGCCTGTGTAAAATTCAACAAGCCTAGAGCAGAAATTGCAGCAGAAACTCTGAGCCAATGTATCTACTGCGTATAGGCTAACCTCTGCAAGCCAAGGGGCTATGTTACAGGAGATCATCTCTGGCAAGAGTCACACTACTAATCAGTCCGTATTACTACCAAAAGTCCTGTCAAATTACACTTGCTAAGAAATCTGAAGATGCCTGTATCTTCCAGACAAATCATGTTCAAAGCCTGCAAAGCACTAAAAGAAGTCCTAGCTTTAACCTTTCTCTTGCTAATTCTTTCTTGAAAATTCTCTTCACTTGAGAATTAAGATATGATTTAAAAAAACAAAGGATATCATGGCCCATATAATGATGTAAATTAAAGTCACTTTGGGAAAGACAGATAAGAGGGACAATCTGCTCTTAAAAGCCTGATATCTAACTGGGCCCTTTAACCTCTTCTCCACTCCATTAAACATCTCTAGGCAGTAATCACCGGTTATTAGTGTCTAAATATGGGCATAACGCCTATCTGCTGATGAGTAAGATAAATTATGTCAATTGGCACTGGACTACTCTTAATTAGCTATTTCATTGGTTGCATGAAGGCTCAGAGGATTTTTTGCTGAACCTCTGAGGCTCCGAGAAGCTCAGACCTTGATTCACCATTGCCACATTTGGCCCTTGTGTGATTTTTGAGCTGCACCTTTTCTGCTGAGCTATCAGTTATCCGTGTTGGCTCATAAATTCTTCCTTAAGCAAATAGAAAGGGTCAAATTGTCACTGCAGTCTCCTGGACAGCAGGGGACATCCATGGAACACAGAAACTGGAGTGGGATTTTGTCACAGTCCTATTACTGTCACTCTGAATTAGCCTTTCAGGGAGGTAATGCTTACTGCGTTCTCCCAGTACTCTGGTATTTTATATTGGCACCACATGGTTACCCTTGTGTCCAAGAAGAATATTTTTTAAATGCAAATAAAGGTATAAGAGCATTATGAGTCTTCTCCATAAAGGCTCTGTGCTCAGATCTGTTCCAGCTCACTGCAAGCCAGCAACGCAGCTCTTCAGGTGGGCGAGACATTTTCGGCAGGAGATGTAAAGACTTTACAGTGCCATCTGTTCATACAGCCACACTGACTTCTTAGCTTTGATCATACTCATTCTACTGCTTTTAGTCCCTGGTACTCATGCTGTATGTCCTTAATGCATTCACCTTGTCTCATACAAGTGTAAAGGCATTGAGGTTAGGGTGGTGATTGTTAACAACTGGCCTTCAGTGCAGACTTGCATCACCTTTGTGTGAGCAGTTACAGGAATAGTTTAGGAATGCTTGAAGCCTTCTGGTACTTTTCTGTCTTTTCTGTCTGTGTTCCTTTGGGTGAGTGTATCAGGCCAAGGATGTTGTGCAGTGGGATTAGGAGAACATACTGTCCCATCAGTGTCCCATCAGCTCTGCTAGCCAGTATAGAAAGGGAGAGGAAATAATGTTCTTGGGTGACTTATGGCAGATTGGTCTCAGAATGAGCAACACAAGGAAGGGAAAGGGGCTCTATCCCAGTGCTCTTATCAGAGTCAGTCTCCGTCTGGCTGTTATCAGAAGGGCAACCTTAGTCTCAGGCCCTGGTTCTGTCTACTACCAAAGAAACACAGCTTGCAGTGGCCTCACATGCTTTGTTTAGGCTAACTAAGCGCAGACTTGATATGAGAACAAAAAGCAAAGAGACAACATAACAATGCAAGCAGAACACCCCACACTTCTCACTAGGGATGCCAACTTCAGTTGCCCTGAATAAAGGGTACATGCAGCAGTTTTTTCCCCTCTACAGTACAGAAGGACTGTACACATCCTGCTTTTGTAACCAGCATCAGGTAATTCAGAAGTACTGTGTGTATATTTTGAGGGCTGTGATGAGTGTGTGGCTCTAAGAAAATCACAGATACTTTCTCATTTGCTGGTTATGAAATGAAATAGACAAAAAGGCTTTGGCAGGTATCTGAGCACGGCCCACAGATGGCAAGTGGTCTGGGAAGGATGAGAGCTCCAAATTCTGATTCTGAATAAGAAAGTGCCCTCCCTGTCTTTCTATTGCACTATGTAATTTAGGGAAGTCTGCTGTGTTTCCAGCCATGCTGTAATTGGAGACTGATGGTGGGAAAGTCAGTACTTAAAAGCATTGAAAACCTTGTTATTTGGAAGACTTAATTTTAATACCACTGTTAGTGTGCCATGTCTTTTGTAGCAAGCTACATCTGAAAATAAAGCCAGCCACCTTTCTGCTGTAGCTTTAGGTAAATTTGCAGGATAATTTTGGGCTAGAACCATGAAAAAATACAGTATAGTACTATCTTCTGATCAGAAACTGACCTAGAATCTCTTTCTGACATTAGCTTGTGATCCCAGGGCAGAGATCCTGACTCCCAGTTGTAATCAGTACCAGCACTACAGAAACTCATTACTGAAATTCCTTTCATTAGAAAGACTCATGAGGTTGCCAGTAAGGTTTAATTTTGGCTCTGTCATTTAAGCACTATTAAATGCTTTTATATCTGTTGCATGATATTGCCTAATTCCTATTTTCCCCAGCAATTTTGCAACCCTATATGAGGTAACAAGTGAACTTATAAAAGGGAGATATAACATACTCTTAGTGTCACAGGGAAAAAGTGTGAAAGATAATGGAAAGGACTCAGGCTTCTCAGTAACAGACTTTCTTCTCTTTCCTTTCTCTTTAAGATGTTATCAAGAGCTGACTTCTAATCTTTACTCAGTATATGAGTTGAATTAGTTACAGTTTATGAGCTTTGCATTTATAATTAATATCTTCATTGTGTAATCAAGCACTCAGCCATTGTCTGTCACAATAGCACAGAGTAAAATTGAGGTAAAAAAGAATGAGACACCAGTTCAGTCCTGGGCATTGGTTAGACTGATCTAGAGATACAGCTCTAGAATGTAACGCCCTCTGCCATGGCTGTTTGGGGACAGTACCTTGCTGACAGGGTCAGGCAATGTTCATCATATTCAATCTTCAGGACGTTTTGGGCTTTTTCTGTCGCTGGGCGACTGACCTAGAAACAAATGCCATGAACATGAACGTGGACATGAGTTAAACTGTCTATAACCAGTATACTATACAAGTCTCAGTGCATATGAATCTATGATGTCTCAGCCATCTGTTTCCTATTTCAATGCAAAGAGATGGGCAGGTAGGGTTTTGTGTCTTTTGTATTGCTGATGTAATGAGGAATGCTCTCTATTTCAATATGGTGGTGGTGCTAAAGGAAAAAAAGTCATTTAATTCAACTGTAAAGGTAAGGATGAAGTATCAATCAGGGTTCAGTTTTAATATGGCAAGTTTAGGAGATGTTTAGTCTGACAAGTGTCAGAGCATTTTGGGCAAAAGTTTTGGCTATTCTTGGAGTGAATGGAAATAACTTTCTTCCTGACATGCAGACATTGTACCGTGAAGCACTTCAGTGAATGCCTGTCTGCAGCAAGGCTCTTTAGGAGCAAAGACAATACTTAAAAGCTACAGTTTAGCTAAAACCTTTTCCCTGCCAAGTAGTGTATTAGTTGCCTACTACTAGCAAGAGCCACTTAGGAGAAACATATCTTCATGGTACTGATACTTTGTTATTAACAAGCATCTATTATGCCTCTGGCTCAGTGTTTCAGATGTACCCCAAGAAGTACCTGTTCTGCGACTCCTTTTCACTTAATTGTGCAGTGTTTCAGCAATTCTTACCCCCCACTGGGAACCCATAGGTAGTTTTAGACTATCAGGTCCCCAGTGTGATCAGCCTCCCACCTGTGTCATTCTGCTGGAATTAATGATTAGTAATTCTTATTTTGCATGTTTCCTAGATCCCCAAACTCCTGACTTGCCACTTCAAGTCCTCTTTCACATAAAAACAACTTAGCTATAGAACAGTCATGAAGGTTCTTGGCGGAAGGTATGTAATGGATGGCTAGGTAAGAAGCAAAGACCCCTCCAGCCCACTATCTCCTGTTGCACAGGTACTGGTGCCAATGGATGCTTAGGGGAAGAGTGTAAGAACAGGACAATTGTGTCCAGTTTCTGTAATCTGAAATTTAGAAATTTACTGAAGAAGAGACTCTGTTTATATCATTGCATGTAATAGCTCCCAATACACCTTTTCCCCATAAAGTTGGCTCATCACTTTTTGAACCCATTAATACTTTTGTTGGAAACAGTTAAAGGGCACATGAAAACCAAACAAAAGCTTATGTAAATTTTGAGTGGCAGGAGTTTAAGACCAGGCAGACTAAGCCCTAGTGAATATATTGTAGTGAACAACCGTGTATTGGCTGGAGACATGAAGAGACAAATAGACAAAATGAGATAATAAATCTTTTCTGTCTCTAGTTTCACAATATGCAGCCTGAATAAGGCTATCGTACGAAGTCACAGCCTTATAGATAATCTTTTATATGTTTGCTTTATATTATTTTTCCTTCTGTCTCCTGTAAGAGGCAAGGGAATCCCCTAATAACAGGATCATCCCCTCTTTCCCCTTGCCCTCAGCTGGATAGGAGACATAAACCAGCAAAGCACTAACAGCCCACTATACAACTTTAATTCTAGCCTATAATACAGATGAGGCATTACCTTCATGCCTGACACAGCCAAGGTGTTTTTCAGTCGGTATTTGCCATCCTTCTGGGGATATGTGTACAGCAGAACATCATTCATCTATATGAAGAGAAAAGCAAAATCAATAATTTGCGATATGGCTTGCAGGCCTGCCCATTACTCCTGGGGGGTACACACAGAAAAAGCAGCAACTTGATGAACTGCTAGGACTGTTACTGAAGACAGGCCCAAGCCACACAGCTTAGATCAAGACCTGCATTTCCCCAAACCTCTGGGGAGTCTGCATCCAGGACTTTGATTTCTTCCCAATTTTGACTGTTGCTAATGACTAAGCAAGTAGATAAACAGCTCTTTTTTATTCAGCTTGTTTTAAGGGCAATGCCATGTTCAAGTTGGGAAGGCAGGCTCTGCATTCACTACCTGGCAATACCAACTAACTGCCCAGGATGCCGCAGCTCTGACTCAGGGTCTTCCTGACAGTGAAACTGCGCTGAGGCCAGGGGTAGGGCTAGGCTTCACGAATTTCCATGTTCTGGGGAAAAAAGGAAGTGGAGATGAGGAGAGGTGCCACAGTCTGGAGGAATGATTCAGGGAGGAATGGTTTGGATATTTGAGAGCAGTAACTGTACTTCACTACTAGAAAAACTCACCTAGACATATGACAGCTTTGCTGAGTCTGTGGGCCACAGCAGAGACCATGGGAGAGCAAAAATGAGAAACTTTTTTATATTTTATGAGAAAAAAAAAAATCTGTACCTTGACAACCCAAATATTTCCATAGTTCTCACAGCTCCTTGCAGAATGCATGTTTTCAAACAGCTTCATACTACATGGGATCAGATTTTATCTGCTGTTTGCCTAACTTAATCATAGACATTATTGCAGCCTTTTACCTTCGTACCAATAAACAAATAAGTGAAACAGAAGAACTGGACCTTGTAGGTCTTTGCTGGCCCCTCCTTCCCTTATTACTAGAAAGAATAGCAGTATTGGTGGGCTTTAACATTGCCAAATTATTGCTTATGTGTGTGCATTCTCTGCTTTACTTGAATGAGCAGGTCATGTTCTCTCGTTGTCTTTCCCAGGCCTCTTGCATCAGTACCGATATGCATAAACTCAGACAGCCCCTTGATTACTATACCAGGATATTATGAACAAAGATGTGCCAGGCAATGTAAAACCAAGGCATAGGTAATACTGTGTGATGCCAGAGGTGAAGCATCCTGAATGCAGACATTCTCAATAAATTAAAAATTAGACAGAAAACAGCTTCACTTGGATTCCTCTATGACAAAGACATTTACATACAGCCAATTGGATGGTAATAATACTATATTTTGGAAGGAAAACTGTGATAAAGAGAGATGCAAAGAAGAAGGGAGGAAACTAAAGAATGATTGGGCAATAAAATAATGTATCCTGTATGACTGGAATTGTTGGCATCTTGATAGTACTGCCTGAGCACCTAAAACTGCTGGTGTAAAATTTTCACTAGTTTGCTTGCCTGAAAAAAAAAGAAAAAAAAAAAGTGGAGCCTTATGGATGTTTTCTTAAAAGGTCATAGTTCAGCTTTCTTATTGTGCAGGAACAATGGTGAAAGAAAAATTACAAGGAATTAATACTCATGGGATTAAATCCTTACCACCTTGGACTTAATAGCAAAACTGTTGTTGCCTGTATTAGGGTCATGAGTTCACTCATGGACACCAGTTCATTAAGTAGCTGTTTGATTCACAACAAATCAGGCTTATGTGCATTAGCTGCCCATCTTTAAAATGCAGATTGCCATTCATGTGAGGCAAAATATACTCAAGAGTGACTCTTCCCAAAACTTCTACTTCAAATTTTACTACTTTTAAAAATTGAATTGAGTTTACTGAGTAGGATCAGCTAATATTTTTGTAGAAAATGCTGAAACATTTCATTCTAGCATTTTAACAAAAAGACGCCCATGTTCACCTGCATTGACCACTCTACTGTGTATTTCTCTGTGTCCTTCTAGTAAGTCTTAACTCATGCGGAGCTTAAAGCTCTTTTAATATAACACTTCTCAACTGAGGATATAAAAACATACTATCAAGTCAGAATAGGAGTCTCATGTTCTCTTCTCTGTAGTCTAAAGTGGAATATTTACTCCTTTGCAACAACACAATAGAATTTCTTTAGAACAAGGTGACAAATGGCTTGTCACAGAGTTTTTTCTGTGATTTACTTATTGCTCCATAAATTACCCTCCATGCATTAATCCAATCAGCACAGTTACACCTGCACAGTACTGACCACATGATGATTCCCAGTTTCACCAGAACTATGCATAACCAGAAAATTCATCACAACCTACTGCACACTGAGTATCTAGGAGGCTAAGGTAGAAAAAGACTGAGCAAATGTAAACTTTTCAGTGAAAAGCAGATGAAAGCTATTTTCACTTGATATTACTAGTAGCAACTAGGACTCCAGCAGCCAGGTGGGAAAAAGGTAAAAAGACAGGCAGACTTTGTTGCTAACATTAAGAGAATACTCTGTGAAATAGGAGAATACTAGAGAAATCTCATACTTGCCTGGTGATTCTGCTGTCTCTTGAATGTTCAAAGGATTATCTGAGAAAACAGGACTTCCTCTGTCACTCATCAGTGCCGGTACTTAAGATTTGTTTCAAACCACAAGAAAAGGTAACTAGTTATGGGCATGAAGCCCAAGGAAGTGAACTCCTAAGAAAGATTCTCAGGATTCTGGCATAAAGTGCTACTGGGTTTCTTGAACAGCAAACCCCATTTATTTTATTTATTTAAAAATTTATATATTTCTTTAAAAAGCAGCTCATTCTTTTATTACTGTTGATTAAGGATTACACCCTGGTGCATGCCATTGTCACAACAGCTTTGGTTAATATCTCAAGATTTTATTAAACATTAGTGATGACTTTGCTTTATGATTGCCCATTGGAATTTTTTTTCCTCCTTCTGTTTTTCTCCCCCATAGTATGTGGTGGTCCCACCAGCCACAGTTTCACACAATGAAATTATGACAAATAATTCCAAGCTTGCTAAGCAAGGCACACATATTCATGAAGAAAGGGTTTGCACTAGCTGCTGTCTCCTTTGCCACATCTACACTGGAGACCTGAGTGGTGGCTGTATGAATGGTATGGACAGAACTAGCATCAGTACCAGTGGTTTCATGCATCCTCCTGCTTCACACTGCATGCTGTTCCCTGAAGCAGAGAGGACAGGGCCTCACTAAAAGCTGATCTTGCAGCCCCTCAGGAATCTGTAGTAGAAGAGATTGACTGCCACAACCCCCAGGGGAGTTTCCAGAAGTCCTTGGGCTTCAGACCCACTTCCTGTTTGCCAAAAAACTTCTGAATATAATTGGGATCCACAAAATGCTCAGATATTGATATGGGAACAAAGATTCCTATTCTTCATTGCTCCATGCACACACACAGTCCCCCAAACAATAGTTCATAATACAGAGAAAGAAGGACATGTCTGCTCTTTAATTTTCTTTTTTTCTGTTACTACTTTTCTTTTTTTCTCCTTCTTTCTATAATCCCCTCTGTTGTGACAGGAACCCAGTAACAATAGAGGTCAGTGCAAGTTTTGTAATCTACAGTGTCAAAGTTTATTGATCCAAACAAGTTTATCTATGCCCTTCTGAACTGTTGGCATCCATACGTAATGTACTCTCTATCTAAAAGCTTCTACTGCATGTTTGGTTTTTCTGAATGTTTTAAAGGGTAGTTCATTATGAACCCTATGTTGTTCTATTCAAGTCTGTGTTGAACATCCCCTGTCTGTCAGTGGAGCAGCTTGAATGTGTGCTGGGCTGCATTTTCCAAGCTCTGACTCCAAAACCTCCTATACTCCAGCCCTGCCAGCTAGAGCATTAGTCTCCCATGTGATAGCAGCTTCCCACATCCCCCTTACAACACAAGCAGCCTTTGTAGAGAAATTCTTGGAAGGGTGAGATAAGACACAGTGTCTGAGTAGCAAAGTCCTGTGCTTGGGGGGCAGTTAGGGGGGCTGCCAGTGTCAGCAGCCCATACTGTACTGCAAAGAGGCCCCAACATCCTTGTAAACAGAGACTGGACTCAGGAAACAGGCGCACAGCAAAATTCACCAAACATCCTGCCAGGAAACACCAGATTCAACAAAACCATCAGCCTGCACGAAACAGCTAGCTCAAGTAACCTTGTGATACACACAACATACACCCGCAGAAACAGATGCACATCAAAAGCCCCTATATTGTGTCCTACACACTCATGCCTATATTGACTGTGTACAGGCATACAACACTCCTTATGGGCATATATTCAGAGCACAAGCGTGCATACCACCAAAGTACACCCTGAATGCACAGGCCAAGCAGGAGTCTGGCATGTACCCAATTTTTATAGCATATTCTAACTACAACATTAGTTTGGTGGGCTCATCTCCTGGGATATGTAGGGGTTAAATTTTCAGGTTTATCCTGCAGTGTATACTCTTCCACTGAAATTCTCTGCAGGTCTTGGGCTTGACTTAGCTTCAGTCAGAGTAAGTTCACTACTAAGAACTTCAGAAAAATGTAAAATGTTCACGTAAAAATCTGTTTTGGGTAGCTAAGATAAATACACTCATCCAAAGCTAAACGAAACTACACCTATAGACGTTAGCTTCTAGTGATCTTTTGGAGTGGCAGCTGACATGTGAAGCATCAAAAAAAGTTGTGAAAAGTTTTTTTGATTAATACATTAGGACAAATTCTTATCCTACTGAGTTTTGCCAGTGGTTTCAAAGGTTTATGATATGGTCCTTAGAAGACAGGAGCTTTAAATAAATGTGGGTTTTAAGAGACAGTGTTTAGAAGATTATTCTAGTCTTGGGGTTTTGTGGTTTTGGGTTGTTTGCTTGGGTTTTTTTCCAAACGGTGTCCCCGGGTATCAGAATCAAGACAGCACATGGGTTTGGCTAGATGCACTGGCAAAGGGAAGGATATGTTCATGCAGGCCTTGGCTGTTACAAAAAGGTGTTGGCAGTGATGGTTGGTAGGGCCTTAAGACTGATGCAGTAAAGATGCTATATGCCAAGATGAAAATACATTGCCATTGCTATGCAGTAGTTGTCTTAATATATCCATAAGCTAAATAGTCCATTAAGCAATGCATGAATGGTGGTGGCTTGAGTGGTGGTGGCACAACAGACAATCCACAGCATTAGCAGTGACAAGCAAATAATACAAAACCATTCAGTTGTTAATGCAGGAATTACCATATTACACAGTGACTTGCTTTCCTGCAGTTTCACCATACATGGCATTGCTCTGCAACCTGAGGAGCTTTCAGGGTAGAGGAGACTGAGTAAAAAAATCACTGAACCCAAAGGCAGGTACTTGCCAGTAAGTTTCAAACTATTTCCAAGATTCAATCACCCCTGCCCCTACCCAACAGGAGACATACTACAGGAAGCCTGAAGTGGTTGCAACTTTAGTGTGTTAGAGCAGGAAAGAAGTCGGGTTTATGTGTCTGTTCTTGAAAGTGACAACTATGGATTAGTATAGCTCTACCACATACTTTGCATGACAGCACGTTTGGTCACAGTTTGCCTTTCTGACTGAAAGGAAGAAAAAACCCACTGTTTCTGAATACTGAGAGCATCTGTCAGCAACAGGACATTGGCTACTGTAACGTCTCCAGCTGCCAAGAGACACTGCTCTCTTTGCAGTTAACATCCGGGTTTGAGCAGCTGAACTTTCCCCAGGAATCAAAAATAGTTCCTAAACTAGAAAGTGCCAGAAACTCATTTCTGTGCTTTCTTTGTTCCAGTAATACTTTCAGCCTCTTGTGACCTTCAAGCCGATACAACCATTTTGGACTACTTGAAATTTATCTCAGTTTATCCCAAGTTTAAATTACCTTCCTCTCAATGTTTATTACCAACCTGATTTCTGATCTTCCTTTTAAATTCTCTGTATCCGTTATCATAGCTAGCTTTGTGACACTTCAGTATTTGCCATAGTAGTGGATTATGATGGCAGTTACGATACACTGGAAGATGAAATGGTAACAACTTCTTGGAATTTGGTCCCAGCTTTAGCCACAACTCCAAAATGTTTTTGTAATACTAGCAAAGGCAAATGTTTCAGAAGAGAGATAAGAAAGGAAGCAGGTATCATCTGTTATGAAGTCATCATCAGTGGGCTTCAGAGTTACTACTGCTGAGAACACTGTTTCTTAAGACCAGCTCCTGGAGATTCTGGCCATTTTCCCTTGCCTCAACAAAGTCATGATTTTGACATTTATTGCTGTTGTTACAGTCCATTGATGCCAACTCAGTAAAACAGCACTGCAGCAATCTTTTATTTGAAGATTTGGGTGAAATCCATCACTTTCAGTACATGAAAGTCTGAATTTTCACAGAAACCAATGAAGCCATCAGAAAACTGCAGTGCCAGCACTGTGTCCCATCCTATCTATCTGATCTTTGATTATGACTGCAATACATGATCAAGGAGGCGAAGAAGCTTGTGCATCCACTCATGCACAAATAGGAAATATTAGTAAGAGGGAGAAATAAGAATTAATGGCAAACTGTGTGACTTCTGTAATAAGCCATCTCTCCTCCTCACAATGGTGCCAGGGTGAAAAGCTGTCAGCACTTACAAAGGCCACAGCAAATACATATTCCAGGCATATAAGCCATTTATTTTAAAATAAATCCTGCAAACAGTACTTTAATGTTAATAGAAACAGTGATGCTCAGCTCTTTATGGCTCTTTTCTGGGAAGAAGCTCTAAAGAATTTTTTCAAACATTAACAGGTAAGCAGGTAACAAACTCCTAATACACAGGCAAGTATTATTTTCCCCTACATACCAATGAATGCATAAAAATGCCTGTGGTTACACGATAAGCTGAAAAGTTGACAACAGAGCTCAGGAGCCTGGAGTCTCAGATACTCTCTAACTGCTCAGTGTAGTGTGTAGTGCAAAACAGAAAGCATGAGTGTTAACAGCATATCTCCAAAACAGTGGGGTTTAATCTGTTTTGATTTGCACATACTTGCAATTTTTGCAGTAGGGTTGTGGACCCTTGTGAAGGGTATTCCATCCAGCTGATGAAAGGTTCATTTTTCTTAACTACCACAGAAGAATTTTGCAAACTGTCATTGAAAACTTGCTCTAATCAACAGGAAACTGGAGGTGTGTGTTCAGACGGACTATACTGAGGAAATGCACACAGTTATCAGGTAATTTACATAGATGTGGATATTAGGAACTAAAACCCAGTCCTTGAGCTTCAAGTATACAAATCTCTCCCAAGTGAATCAAAAGAAAGCTTTCATAAACTTTAGCAGTAGGGTGTTCTCTGTTGCTTCTAATCAGATCTCCTAAGGCTTTAGGGTTGGACTTTCAAGCGTGAAGCTTAATTGCTGAAAGTAGTCAGGAGCTCCCATCCTCCTGATCACCTTGGAAACTTGCACTCTTTTGCAAAATTATGGCCTAGTCAAGGCTGTACGTATCTGTGGCACAAATGGAGGGCTGTACAGCCCATATTCCTGTATGCAGGGCCAATGGGACATGTGTGAAAAGGGCTACAACCCTGTTAGAAACTGACTCACCACATCACTGCTGATGGTTAAATGACTTGCAGACTGAAAGTTTCTGCCAGGCTTCAGGGCTGCATAAGTGCAGAGGAAGATACGAGAGACAGTAAAAATATAAAAGAAATCTTACCAAGAACAAATGCCGAGGGTGCCTGTTTTTGCCAGAGACTTTCATCAACGTTCCCTCTTTAACAAAGATCTGGAGGAGAAAACAGCAGGTTGTAATCCTGAGGCTTCTCATTTTGAATCTTATTGAGAACAGAGAATATTCCTGCTGGGGAAAGAGCTACTCTAACTGCTTTCATCAGCACAGGAAGAGAGATGCCTCAACATTTGCCTTTAGCCTTACTTCTTATGATCTGGCTTAGTCTTTGCTTGGGTTAGCCCTGCTGCTCTTCATGACTTGCATTTGTATCAGAACCAAGTTGATTGGAAACCCACTTTTCCTCAGCCCATTGCTTCTGCACTGTGGACTGCACAGAGGTGACTGTCACAGATGGCAAAGCTAACATGTAATTGGCTTCAGAAAAGAACTCTTATCTTTAAAAATGCTCTAAAATAGACAAAAAGAAATACTATGCCTTCATACATAATCTATACACGTTTGCAAACACAATACTTTGTTGGTCCATATTGTTACTAGGTATGTAGATAGGACTATGTATGTAAGCAGCTAAACCAGCATACTAGCACTTGATTGCAGTAACATTTGTAAAGGTCTAGCATAACTGAACTATATCAGTGAATTAACAGTCATCTGCTCTTTGGATGGAGAACAGAATCTGGTGTATCTTTCCACTCCAGAACAATTTATAATCAAAGAAACCAATCACATAAATTCTGTATGCTGGGCTTTGCAGCATACCAATTTGTTGTTTGCAAGGGCAAGTGAGAATACTGATGTATAGAGAAAAAATAGAGGTTGACTGCAGTATTTGGCTGCTGAGGATTCTTACGCTATGAGTACGTGTGCCTTGAAAATTGCTTCATGAGTTTTGCTAAAGATATTGGTGGACTGAAGGGAAATTTAGAGTTGCAGAACTCAAGAAAGAAATCTTTTAAAATGTAGAGGCAGGTTGGAGCTGAGGAAACTGGACAGGTTTGAAAGACAGGAGAAGAAATTTGCATTTGATGTGGATGGCAAGACAGAGCTATACACTCTCCCACTTTTTTGTTCATGTGTTGCTTAAAAATGATGTCTTGCATTAAAAGCACCACTGGGGAATGGTGAGAATAAAAATTTTAAACCAAATAATTTCCCCTGATTTAAGGCTCTTACCAAGCCAAATAAAACTCTGAGCCTTTCCAGGCTGCAAGTGATTCCCGCTAGTGTTGCAACCTTTCAACAGGAGTATATAAGGAGGAAAACAGCAGCTCTATCAAAACACAATATACATGGGATGGCTGAGGACAGCTGGAGTGAAAAGTCAAATGGCTGCTCTGTGTAAAAGCAGTGGCAATGCATGTTTTTCCCAGCCTGAGGCTCTGGGCACATCTCTTTGTGTGCTGCCAGAGTGATGGCTTTTTACACAAACCAGTGCCCAACTCTTATCACAATGGCTCAGTAAACACCTGTAGACATCTGAAATCTGGCCATCAGAGATATAGCTGTCTGGAAACAATGCCCTTATCAGCATAGACCTGCCTGCAGCACTCACCCTTCCTGGCTGGAGGAGGCCACTCTGCCCTCTCACACTGTGCTCAATATGTACCAGCTTCTGCAAGTTTTCCTGAGGGAGAGAAACAGCATTTAGGAGACCACATGGTGACTGTTCTTTAGACAAGCAGGCAAACCTTCCCTCACCCCCCCTCACCATTTTATTTCTCTAAAAGTGTTATTACAGAATTAGGTTTCAGAGAGAACTGAGCCCCAGGATTTTATGCCCAGAAAGTCTTCTTCCAGCCTTACAGGTTTTCTAAAACCTCATCATCTGCATTCATATGTGCTGTGGCCTTCTACACTCCTGTTACCTCTGCTACCTCAGTTCACCTTCAAAAGGGCCTGCTAATTCCATACAGTACTTATACATTGGCCTCTTTGCTGACTTTCTTGCTCTGGGAACTAATAAACTGGAAGCAGAGATAAAGTACAGTATCTGCTCCAAAGGCCTGTGCATTAGTGGCATGACACAGATAATCTAAAGCATGCTTTGATACTGTAAGACTGTTGCTAGGATTATCTGGAGGTTTATATTCTGTGATAACGGATTAATAATTTGCAATAGGGGATTTAGAAGGTTAACTAGTAAGCAGGCAATGAAGCTGCATCTCTCTTTTGATACTTTGCAAAGATCAGGAAGTTCATTATCAAGCTGATATTATTAACTACCTACCTGGCCTTAAAGCACAGTCAGTGGGCACTGGCACATGGCATGAACTTATCTATGAAGATGGTAGATAAGATTAATCTGGATAAGCCTATGCTCTCATAAAAAAAGATGGTATTAGATGATTATACAAAAGAGGAAGAAGGGATGTCTGTACCTTACCAATATTGCTAGAGTCTTTTCAAATCTCTTTCCATTTAGCAGGTGAGGCTGCTAAAACCAAGGCTTGTACATAGGATTCAGCTGTGGCTTTATCTGGTCAGAACAGTAGAATGGGCTGCACAGCAGCAATGAGTCATCACTGGAATATGTCTAAAAATCAGGAGTCTCTTGTCTAAGTTAGCCATTGTATCCTAAATCCTCAGTTACACACCCAGATAAACTACAGACTAAGGACTATATTTCATATAGCTTGATGACCTGGCAGCCTTTGACTGCAGTATTCTGCTATGACAGATAATGGTCTGTCTTCCTATGCTCCACTGACTGCCATTAAGATACCCCTGGGTTTAGTTAGACTCAATTAGATCATACAATGTATCTGCCCGATACAAATCAATGCTGTCTACGGAATCAGCTAATTAAGAAAGCTATCACAGATACCAGGAGCATATCCATGTCAACATGATGGTCTGTCAAAGCTAATTTACCCTGGATTTCAGCTAACACAATTAATGTACCTATCTCAGCTTGCTTTTTGAGATAAGCCTGAAATACCTCCATATGTTACTGCCCTGGTGAAATATTACACTTGTTCAGCATGATACAAAGTTTAGTTCTTAATCAGTAACTACATAACATATGGAAACACCTACAAGCCTTCACCAGCACAGGGCTGCATTGTGACCATGCAATATAACTGGCAGTTGACACATTTTCAAGAATTTCAGCCATCAAGTGTCTCTTTTGCAATGCAGGAAGTAACAAATGGAATTTTTCAGGTCACTTCTAGAATACTATAGGCCAGCAAAATGGAAACAGAATGTATAAACTAATAGCGCAGGAAATACCAGGGATCATGCGACAGCTGCATTTGCAAAAGACATTTGCAAAGGACTTTCCCATCACCAAAGGGTATTTTAGCCCTAGCAAAACTTGTCAAATTGACAGCTTCCACAATGGAAACCCATTCTTCATCTGCAGCAAAGGCAGTGCCCTCCTGTGACCACACTCATGGCCAATGCTAGTACTACTCATTGGGGTTTCTACAAGAGTGAGAGAAGTTGCTGCAGCTTAGATATACCTCAGTTTTTCTTAAGACTGCTGGCAGAGGTGCCTGTTGTAATGCTGATGTTCGCAATATGGACACATGTTCACCAGGAAATGGACAGAGATGTATCAAACTCATTTCCTGTAGGAAGTCAAACAGCCGTCACGTATGAAGGACAATGATTTAATCTGGGAATGCGGGCAGCT